GGAATCTTTTTTGGTGATCTCCATTGAAGTCAATGAAAACGGTAGAGGGCGCTGCTCTAGCGCCACTCTTCAAACAAATGCTTGTAACTCAAAAACTATAAGTCCTATCTAAGAAATGAAAACATTGTGAGAATCCCAAGACTTCCACGAACGTACAGATCTGTGTTGGCGAGAGAGAGTTCAGAAATGAGACCGTGGGAGCGAGTTAGAAATGTTTCTTCGTATTTCTCCTTTTCGGACTTTTTTCCAGAAATTAACATGGGAGTCAATGGAGAGGTGAGGCAGAAGTCTGCCTTCCATCGATCACAGACTCTCACGTACAAGAACGGCTTCGCTCGGCTCCGTACCCCCACTGTTGGCATCGGGCAGGATCCTCTTCTGTCAGAGCGAGTGATCCAGCAGGAGATCAACAAGCGGACCTTCAAAACACCGGACATGACTCATGGCTCCTCATACAAGAGCCCGCGTAAACAATTCGTACCAGCTTACGTGACCTTAGACAAGAAGGTATGGTACAACTTTGAAGACTTAGTGTTTGATGGTGTTTGTTGCTGTGTAACCTGACTAATTAATCCCTTGTTTGTCTGCTCACCAAACTTTTGTCTTGTAGGCGCTGCGCTTCTATGCATACTTTAAGGAGGATGTCCAGTTTTCCCCTGACGAGGTGTACCGTGTGCGCCCTGTGATTATATACTACTACCCAGAGGATGACAGCATGTGCATCTATGAGCCCATAGTGGAGAACTCTGGGTTATCGCAGGGGAAACGGTTGAAACGACAGCGTGTGCCCAAGAATGAACGAGGAGAGCATTACGAGTATAAAGACCTCAGCCTTGGCATAGACCTGGTGGTGTATGGGGTCAAGTACCACATCACAAATTGCGATGAGTTTACAATGGTACAACCTGTTTGATTGATCTTTATTTTTTTACAGTATGTTTAATATGTACCCGTCAGTTGTTGAAAATACACCCTGTCTACGTCTAAACAGAAATTCATGGAAAGTGAGGGCATTATTTTGAACGACCCTGAGCCGACGCCAGTTGATCCTTACAGCAACAGTCGCAAAATGACTCTGCCTTGCCACACCACACCCTCAGAATTTGACAGAAAACACCAGTTTCTCACTATGGACGGGAAGGTAGAGTAAATTCCTTCTGTAACCATTATAAACTCTGATCCAGACAGCTATCAACACAGAGGCAGAAAATGAACCGGTTCTAGTTTCAGTCTCTTAACTTCTCTCTGTTCAGGTGCTGTGTTTCTTCGCTCTGTGGGATGACGCTGATTGTCTGCAGAAGGACACCAGATCCGTTACCATCCACTATTACCTTGCAGACGACACAGTGGAGATCAGAGAGATCCACGGACCCAATAGTGGTCGTGATCCCTCCCCTGTTGTGATGCGCCGACAGAAGCTGCACAAGAAACTCAAACCACGTATGTTGCAAAGTCGAGAGACTGGAAAATGCAATTTCTAAAAGAAACATCCAGTAGATGACAACAAATATTCCAGCTAAATTGTGATATGGTGGCATTTTCATTATTGAGTCACTGCATAATTGTTCTTGTCTTATTTCCTTTCAGAGCCCTTCCCCAGCTGTGTGATGCAGGTCTCAAAGGATGAGGTGGAGGAGTACTACWCACCCAAAGACTTCCAGGTGGGTCACACAGTGAAGCTGCTGGGTCGTCCCTTCTTGCTGTATGACTGTGATGACTTCACCCGAAAGTATTACCAAACCAACCACCCTGACATGGATATGAAACCCATTGAAGTACACAAGACGGTTAATGTGGACAGGAAGAAGGTGAGAATTATATTATCTGTCTTCATCTTTTCTTTCACATGTCAATGTCATCTGACCTGCCTGTGGGTACTTGTGTTGTGGTTACTATTATCTCTTGTCCATAAACCTCTCATGTCCATGCTGTCCACATCTACAGGAGGTTCCTCCCTACAATGGTTTTGGTTCACTTGAAGATTCTCTCCAGAATTGTTCTGACGAGACATTTTGAATGGGTGCCTTGTGCTCGTCGCCGGCGTTGCTTCGAACACAGAGACATTTCCAGCTCTGGAGCCTTCCCACCTCCTGATCACTGCACCCGCTCACAACCATCGAATCATCTTCACCTGGTCTCCTCAGGATAGAAACCCCTTTAAAAAGGTGCGCTTCTCAAATGGCGATCGTGAATAAATAGGCGAAGCAGCCGTACGGACACAAAAGCAGCTTTTCGACTTCACAAAGTGGATTCCAAACATGTATTTGATTTATAATGTATCTAATAAATGATAATCGCTCTCCTCCACTTCTAATAAAATTGTCAAAAGGGGAAAAGAAAGAACTTTAAATTTACAAATCTGTTCTTCAAGGTTTGCAATGAATACAAATTCCTCAAATAAAAAAATCAACTTGCCTCAAAATAATAAGTGGTTCTTTTTATATACAAAAAAAAAAAAAATACTTCCTGAGCCTGACACTTCTTCTACCTCTGTTTTATTTTTCTGGGATTTATTGATATAGACTTTTTCTTGGAAAATCAAACTCAAGGACAAACAATAAGTAGTAAACTGTAAAGATGCCTTCAAGTGCTGCAAGGTTACAAGTGATACATATTTTTTGGCTGCAAAGGAAATGTGCCTGATACCTTTGGCCCTGTGTTAAAGTCACAGTGTATAATTAATTCATCTGCAGAAAATGGACAGAAATGGAAAATCTGTGTTCCACATTTAATATGGAGATATGCTGTTCCTCTGGCCGGCGTCTAATCTTGCGGTGCAGGTGCTCCACATGCATGCATCAGAAGTGTCCACATTAAATTTGCATCACTTTCAGTGCATACATTTGAATTTGGTTTCCCTCTCAGCAGATGGAGGGAGAGGAGCTTTGATCGGGTTGGTTCACCGTTGTCCTGTGAGCGGCCGAGACACGGATACATCCTGCTACTGTCATGGGAAGAAATACGTGACAGTCATTTAATTCGAGTATTTTCATTTGTTCGAATAAACAGAGAACCATTCAAATCTTTGCTGCCTCAACATCCACACTAAACATTCATTCATTATGCTTTTTACCTGAATGTGGAAAAATAAACATTTAAGATTTATGTGATTTTCCATCTCGTGTGTGTGTGTTGATGTCTGGGTGTAGCTTCTTGTTCCCTCCTCCCATCAACATGTCCACGCTCCTGTGCAGTTTATTATCATTCCGTTCTGTTAGTTGTTCTCTGCAGAGGTAGAAACACTCATCTTCTGGTTTACTGGCACCATGCCTCAATATTTACCATTGTGTTTATGCATCAATCAACCAGCTCACAATAAGTATGAGTTTACAAGCCTGATCACAGGATCTGTGGAAACTGTGAAGGTCCACGTTAAGTGAAATAAAGATAATTAGTTTATCACGTTATTGCAGATAATTTTCAAACATTTCCTTGCATTGGTATTAAAAAAGTTAGTATGTGCTGTTTCCATCAAATACATCATAACTAAACTAAAGATAATAATCAGCTGGGATAAACCTGCATCTGTACAATCTAAAAAGCACATTGTGCCACATGTTTATGCACTGGAAACAAAAACAGACACATATTTCTTTTTTCTTTTCAATTCACCTTGTTGTCTGAGCTCCAGAGAGATAAGACATAAAGAATCAGGAGGAAGATCTTATCATATCAAATGTTGGAGAAGAGATTACACAGACTGCTTAGAGAAGCAAGAACAGATTACCATTGCTGCCACCACCTCTATCTTTATCTTCTCGCCATAATGGACACGCTCGCCATCTTTTGTTTGGCCGTCATTAATCCAGCTGAATTGTGATGAAACTGGGTCACAGCGAGCTGGCTGGACAATGGCTCAGGAATGGAAGCTGTTGAGGAGTATTTATTACGTCCAGTCCAGATGCTGCACATGTCAGTTCTGCTGTAACTGCTTATAAAAGCACTACTGAAATTAACTAGCTCGTGCTGTGCTGCACAAAGGACGTCGCACAAGATCTCACCACGTGGAGAAACATTACAACTGAGCCCAATCAGTTCAGGTCCTGAGCTTTGGTGTGCAATTTTTTTTTAGTGCTTGGAAGAAAAAAGTCCTTGAGTTGGGTTTTATTTGTGCAGGGAGACACTGCACACTGTCAGGATAAAAAAATCTGCTATGGTTACCACTTACCATCAATCCTTTACACCAAAACAATAAGTTGATGGTAATATTTGCAGGAAACATCAACACAAAGACAATATTCAGTGCAGGTGCCTGATGTCACCTAATATCTGAAATTAACTTTTAAAAACAAACATTTTAAATTGCTCTGATTGAACGCTGCAGCTGCGTCTCTGCATTTGAAAACTTGTTGAGTCGTAGCGGTCCATTTCTGCTTTCCGGCCCTGAAAAATAAAGGCTGCAACGAGTGTCTCCTTCCCGATCGAACCTTTCCCAGCATCCAATGCTGTACGGTAACGAATCATTGTTCAAACATTTTCTCTCCTTAGGAGTCTGATTCCATTTGAGACCTCGTGACTGTTTAGTTTTGGAGTTTGTGCTTTGATCCCCGAACTCTGAGCTCTGACATCGACATTTCAAAGTTGTTCTAGCTCGAGACTTTGAATCCTTCAACGTATACGAGAAAAAAAAAGAAGCACTTTTAGAGAGTCAGCAGCATTTCAAATATGATGGAGAAAGAAATAACCATTAGACGTGTGGGACATGAGGTTGAGGTTTCTGCTGTTGAGAGAGGATTGAAAACCTTTTTTAAAAGTGAGACATTCACAGAATCGTGTTAACTTCACCCTGAAGGTGCATAGAAAGTTCTAATTAGACATATTTCGAGTAAACAGGAGCTCGGCAGCTCCAGACTGGAGAAAACAACATGGACACAAAGGATTATGTAACATTAAGAGTGAGGGCGTCTAAGATAACAACGCTTCTTTTCTGGCTTAAAGTCTTAGAATCTTTTTTGATACGTGGTTTATGCCCTGCATGAAAACAAGTCAACTTTTTGGTTGGATGATAAAGTTGAAGGATAAGTAAGAAGGGAAATTTCAAAATAGAACGAGGGAGGTGTGAGAATGAAAAAAAAAAACAAAGATGTAATTTTAAAAGAATGAAGAGAGATCCTTATTTTATTCCCACTGTTCATTGGATGGAAAAGTTGAAACTTTGCAGAAACGGTATACTCTTCAGAAACGCAGCTGCTTCTCTCCTCTCTCCGAGGTGAAAAGGACCAGCTCGTGGAGAAGGTGAAGAAATGCCTTCCAGGCATGTTTGATGTGTTGGATTTCAATGAAGCTCCTGCCCGGGCGCCCGGTCACCGAGCAGCTTCACTGCTGCAACTGCCTGAACTGACAGGAGACTCCTGCAAGCAGAATAACTGCAGACTGGATGCAGCCAACTGAATCAGTAAGCTGGGCCAACTTCACACCTTTGTGTTTTGACAGTCATGGGTGCGGCAAGCATCAGGTGAAGAAAAGATCTAATGTCATAATCACTATCACGCTGCTGATGGATAAAAGCTGTGGTGAATATACTTTGCTTGTAGTAAAAGTCAGAATATTGTGCAAGGATGTTAATTATGTGCAGTAATGTTCTTCATTCAAAAGAATCATTTCTGCAGAATCTGTGTTACGGTTTAGTTTTGGTTTCACGTTGCATTTCACAGAGGTGGCTAAATCATCATCACCACCTACCTACACTTGACATTGCATTCGTCTGACATCAGCTTTTTGTCTGAACCAGGGTTTAGCTGGATCTGGAATGAGATCACCTCTGCCTTAATTAGCTTCTTTTTTTAAAAATCCGACCGTAAGTGTAGGTTAATGCTGCATAACTTTGATCTACTGAACTCTGATCCTGTCCAGATGTGCGAGTCAGCTGCTGGTTATGTGCAACATCAGCAAAACGTATTATCTTTGAGATCTACACTGATGCTGACGTGACGCTTTTCATTGGAGTCATAAAATCCCAAATGTTCCGAGAAGGAATTGTCTTAATCCTGATTCTTCGAAATCTGTCACATAAACCGAAGCATAGATGGGAGATAATGTCTCTGTCTTTACATTTTATTTTCTCTTCGTCACCCTGCTGCTGTGCTCGTTACATCCCAGTTACATGTTCCTTTTTGACGCTAATGGCCTGTTTCCTGTGAACCATGTAAAGGGAGAACAAAGGAGGTCCCAGAGGAGCCCAGACCTCAAGACACAAAACAAATTGGGGTCTTTTGTGTATAGACGCCATCAAATGCTCACACTGTGCAATTTAGCCATTATACTGTTTCTGCCTTTTCCGTTGCTGACACTCACATAAATACACTGGAATGCTCCCTAATCTTTTTCTGAATGCTCTGATGATTACACTCTGTAAGAGAAGGTTCAGTCAAGAGACCCCAGAATTAAACATTGTTATACATTTTATCTTTCACCCAATACGCTGCTGGTTGATCAAAGTGTGTGTGTGTGTGTGTGTGCAGGACCATACACAGCGAGGAACCTTCATGTGTGCGGCACCTTTTTTTTTCAAATGTACATTATAGGACTTTATTTACAAGGCACTATGGGAGGATATAGAATATGTTAAAACAATGTCAACGCAAGAGAAACTCAAACATAGTTACTATGTAAAATAAGTGAACACTGACACATGGGAAATATAACACAATGACCAATATTACAGCAATGAAAGCATAAACAGCTTCAAAACGATTATTATAATGTATATAATTAAGCGTAACAGAGGACATAATGCACATTGAGGATGAATTGTGCCAAACATTCAACAACATTTATTTTCTTACCTCATGTGTAACCATGGTTTTTGTCAAGGAATGAAATGATGTGTATATTCTGGAATCATTTGCATCTTCGTTTGTTTGTGGGGACAAAACAAATCTATTTAAATTGTATAATGTTAAAATCGTTTCAGTGAATATTTGTCTGCTGCAGTTTGAATCTGGCTTTTTAAATCACAGTTGGTTTTTATGTGATGGGTGTGTGATGAGCTGCTGTTTGCATGTGTGTGTGTGTGT